GTCGTACTCGGTTGTAAATGTGTTGTGGCTTGGCTCTCCAATGCACCGGTGTGCTGAACTAGTGATGAATTGGCATGTTCTGTTTACATGACAACCCTTACTAGTTGGCTGTGTCGAGTGGTGGCGGGTTTTAACGACACATTGATATATTTATGCGATCTAACCCAAAAAAACCTCTATTCCTAAATGCATCTACCAGCTCATGAAGGCACAAGAGAAAATATGCTCTTGTTTCATGTTTCTTCGGAATCCTATTTACAATAGAAAATACACTTTCAGCTGTTGCTTTGTTGCAAAGTTTTGAAAAGTGTACTGTTAAAGTGCTACGCAGCCTAGGATATCCACCCATCAATGCTGAACTACTTATTAAGCATTGCGTATTGTACGCATTTTGATTGCAATAGTTAGCATGGGGAGTATGACGTTTAAAAAAAAAAATCTTATTTCCAAGAATGGCCAATAACGTATCTCGTAGAGGTGCACAGAAATATTGTTTTAAAGTAAACAAATTCGGACCGCTGTTGATGTTTCTTTTTGTTCTCCGCCGTGATAAACAAGCAGTGGGAAGCTCTGCAAATCTGTGCTAGCTCTGTGACGGCACAAGGAGGAATGCCCTGGCATCTTTGTGCTTGTCTAATTTTGGGCTTGGTCGTGCGTTCTCCTAAATCAGGAAAGGTACGCAGACTGCATGGTGAAACATTCTTGCGTGCATAAAACGCCGCCACTCACACACACACACGAACAGTCCTTTCCGATCACTGAATGGACTCTTGAGATGTTTGTTTCTTGTTTTCTATTACACTTTTTCAACACTGAAGAATGTTTTTTTTTTACGTTTTTCAGTTTAATTTTTGTGGAGCGTTTGGCTGACTTGGAAATCTCAAATTGTAGTACGCAATTACTACAGACACTGAAGACATGTTGGCGATTTACTAAAACACTTGGCGTGTATTAAATGTTAGATTTATTTTGAAACACTTTTTTTAGTCCAATGTAATGATGTAATTTAATAACTAATAGGGGTAGTTATAATATTTTAACATTAAATAATGGTGTATGTACACATTTTTACTCTTGTCAAATGTGTCGTTTGCTACCCCTTGTCTGTAAGCCATCTTGAAAACTAGATTTGAACCAATCGTTTTATGGTAGTGGCACAAGTAAAGTATTTCAAAAAATATATTATTTGTTCAATACAAATTTTAATCACTTTAAATTGGCTCTAATGCTGGTTACTAGTTGTATCAGAAAGTGTTTTTTTGTTAGTTAATTCTGTCGGGATGACGATGATAATTGCAAACAAAGAAGATCTCTGCTCGCCTAGTAGAGGTTGGTTTTGGATTTTTGACAGTTGACGAAGGCGATGATAATTGCGGATCATGGCTCTGGATTATTGATAAGTCGTGAGAGGTCACTGATGAGGATGCTTAAAGAGCGAGAAGTAAGGATAGCTTTTCGTGGTAGGTGACTGATCGTTATCAAGCGTTGAAACATCTCGTGACCCGTGTATGCCTTTGCGGAAAATAAAATGGAAACCCAATTCCCTGAAAGATGATATTAAAATGTTGTCTGTTTTGGATGAACACTTGTCAGCAGTTCCGTTCATTAGCTGTGTTGGGTGTGCGTGTGATGCCTGTGGTGGTCACAATGACCCACTTCTGTGCCACGAGAGGCGGCGTGCGTTCCCGTAAGTGATACTCTTCGTCTTTTGGGGATGGTTGAGGGATCTCATGAGCTTCAGCTACCAAACTTTAGCGCGATCTATCCAACGCACGGTCGAGTGGCTGAACAAAAACTGGAGCGTATTAAAAAAAATCTAATCAGCCACCGACTAGGACAAAATGTGAATGTTGTAAAACTTGATGAGGTTTTTTAAAAATATTTTTTTATTATTTTCAAGTAAACAGTAGATAAGCTTAAAGTTTTCACAAGAAATACATTTCTAATAAGACTGTTATTATTTTTTGTGAGAGCCTTTAAACTTTTATTGATTTTATTATCCTTTCGCTCTCATCAGGGCCCCTTTTTATTTGACATGAAACTAATGTGTTTCATGTGTTTAACGCGCGCTGCAGGCTCATCCAAACCACAGACAAAGAGTTTGTAGTATTCTTGAGTCTTTCGGTAAAGTCACGTAGATAGTAGTATTTTGTTCTTTTTAATTTTCTTTGAAGCTATATACGTGACTTTACCGAAAGACCCAAGAATATGAATTTCTGCAGTCACGAAAGCTTTAAGTCAAGATTTAATAGTTTGTAGCACAACTGAAGTGTTTGGCAGTGCCTGAGTATGATATCACAATTGGAAGATGCTTTTGTTATTCACCAATGTTATTCACCACTGTTGTTATACGAAACATCCCAAGATTATCTGACTTGAGCTAAACAAACTACACTACGTATTATGTAGCAGAATTGTGGACCCACAAAAACGAACTCAATGGAGTATATTAGATTTTTTTTTAATGCCACATTTGACGTTTACAGTAGCGGAGTTTAGTTCAATGAAAACTAAGCAAAAGTAGGTCTTAGCTGTAATAATTGATCGAACTATGATGACAAATGTTTTATTCCAGTGTTAATATTTTGTTCCTGTGCTAGTCAATTGTGCAGTAATGGTGGTAAATTACCTCATACCTATAGCCTGCATTGAAAAAAAGCTACGGGGCTGAGTGAAATATTTATTGTAACGCATTGCATGCACAATTCGGAAAGATAGCAAAGCAAGTCCAAGTTGTTCAGACAGTGTCTGTATTGCGGCGTAGCTTGGCACGATTCCCAGTACATTAAATGAATTGGCAACTTGTCACGATGAAGGCTTTCAATTATGATTATTGGGGATGAGATCAACAACTTTGGGGGAGAGCTGTGTTGTGCTAGGCGTGGCAGATATGCCAGCAGGAGGATTGCAGACACCAGATGGGCAGACGTTATAATTAGGCTGGAGGTTATTATACGGGCGGGGAAGACGGCTCATTGCCTGAAATGAGACAGTTTAGTGCGGCGTGTGCGCATGAAGACGAGTATTGATGGGTGCGTGTCCTTGCGCTGACCTGCACCTGCTCTTCTTTTTATTATTTCCACCACCCCCACTCCCCCCCCCGGGCTCTGCCTTCTACTTTCTTGAGCCTAATCTTAACGCGAGGTTTTTTTTGGGGGGGGGGGGGGGGGGGGGGGGAAATTAATTTGCCGACACTTCGTAATGAACATGCCAAAGACTGTATTATTAACACTTTTTAACAAACCCTACGTTTTTGCAGGTTTACACTCGCAAAGAAACTGAAACATCCGTACATTTATACGGCTCTCGGCAAAATAGTTTCTGCTCGTGTCTGCCTCGAGGGGCTAACTTGGTCGTGATTTCCATGATCATATTTGCAATTTCAGCACAGGTACCTGTAGCTGTGTGGCTGTCGGTGTTTAGCAATGGGAGAATATATGCCGAACTCAATATGGCGTGCGAACAATGTGTCTGGTCAGTAAGTGGCTTCGTGCACACGGATGCTTTGGCCAATAAGGCATAGAGTTTTACATAATCAGATGGCTCGCTGGTGCACAGTTCATTGGATGGTCTAGAAGCTGTTTGCACAGTCTGGTGAAGCGCATGTCTGGCTGGGTGGAAGTTATCAATTGGACAGCTGACACATGGCGAGTGGGCCCCCCATCCCCCGGCCGCCTGTCATTGCGCAGGGCCTGTGTGCGTGCGTGCGCAGGGCCTGTGTGCGTGCGTGCGCGCCGCTCTCACGCCGTTGTGGCCACCGAATCCGCCTTGCCCGCTGCTTCTTCGGTGCACGCCGAGGTTGTAGCTCGATGCCCCCACGAAACCACCGTAACAAAACAAACCGTCTTCATTAAAAGTGCAATTGGCAACGGTCTAGTTTTGTACCCTGTGCGTCACACCTGCGTAATGAATACCTAAACGGTTACAAAAACATTCTCCATTGATTGGTTCACTCATAGGAAGTTAATTGCAAAGTACTTGTGCAGGTGAAAAAAATCAGGTTAATTGTGCCTCGGCATTTACACACTTATATGGAATGCATATTTTAAATTACATTTCCTTTGCGTAGGTCAATGTGACTTTCGTTTACCCACTGAGCCTCCCCCCCCCCCATTCAATTACAAGTTCAGACTTTAAAAAAAAAAGTTGTTATTTTTCTGTTTGCATCCTGTACTTTGGCAAATTGGCTCAATCCTGGCAGCAACAGCGGCATGAGGATTTTGCGTCAGAATCGATAAAACGATATTTGAATGTTGAAAGTTTTGTACAGCATCCAGGGTTATACAGGCTGGTTGCCCACAACACTCGCTTGTCCACAACACACTCCCTTGTGGGCTGACCGCCATTGTCGACTGCTCTTTGTAGTTTCCCATTTACAATTATCGTTATTAGTGAGTTTCAGAATAACGAGAGTGGTTGTTATAGTCCCCCCCGTTGTTGTATGCGTTAATGTTTCGCGAGCACGCATTTGCACGCAGCACGTGTATAGGATGTGCTATGAAATAAATGTTCAAAAGTCTGGCAATATGCTCTCAAGTTACTTGAAGTAATTTTGCACTTGGTGAAAGTGAGGCTGAAAACGATTCAACAACAGCTGCGGAAAAGCGAATTGCTGATTGAAGGTCTAATGTATTTGCGCCGCTATTAATTGGATTGTAACTTTACGCACATTGGCTGCGTGTATAAAAACCATTACATTTTCGTATTTTTCGTCATGCTTCTTGCAACCAATTTCTGCTAAATATCCAATGCAAACATTATGCTTATCAAGGGTTCTCAATTTTCCCAACACGCAGGTGCTCTAAAATAATACGCATGATGTAATTGTGTTTGTTTTGTAAAACTAGTGTTTGTTTTTTTAGCAACACTGGTTATATACAGCATACTTCCGAATCTCCATCATTGCTATTTAACAATGAAACTTTATTGCAAGCTTCTAAAAAATATATAGGAATGCAGCAATTAACACACACACACGTGTCTTTTATTCTCTGATGCAGATCAAGAAGTACCTGGAGTTGGAGCCTCTTGCTAAAGGAAAGAAGTGGATCCTGCATCCGTGTTCGTTTGAGGACTTGGCAGCTGTGAGAGAAGGCGTCTGTCAGTTCCTCCAGCTCTTGGAAGAAGAACAGCTTCACGGCGCCCTCATCACGGGCAGGATATGATGCCACCATTACTTCTTGAGCATTGCATATCGTACAGTTGTTGGTCTCGAGGGCTCAAGGACGAAGTGATTACTCTTGTTGGGATCTACCGATGGGAATAATTGCTTGGGCTGCCCATATATTTTCTTTTCCCAAGTGAAAAGGCACAGGGCAGCATAGGCGGAGAGCAGGAATCTTTCGAGGATACACAGGACTGCTTTGACTGATGAGCCTCCGCAAGCTTGCGATTTTTATGAGGTGTGCATACACATCACAATGTACGTTGAGGCCTCGACACACCGCTTCTTGAACTATTCATCCATGCATGGGGGCCTTGAGACAATGGTGGCACTCAGAATGCCACAAACCAACACGATAAACGGCCACAAGAAGTGCTTTTTTCCCTCCAGAAGATTACTTCATCGGCAGTTCAGAGGGCACCTTCAATTGCCCTGCTACATTTTTTGAAATGACTGCAACTGCCTTGGACTGCAACATAAATTGCAACAAATCTCCTCTGGTCTTTGTGTGGACTTGGGGTAAAATTTACCGTTTGCCATGTTGGCGAATATGTGTGCGTGCAGTGTACATAACAGCACTTAGAGTGATGGGCTATTATTTGGTGGATTCCAACTATACTGGTCGGATTTTTTTTTTGTCCTCGAAACGTCTTTTATATTTTTGTAGGTTTTTCTACTAGTGGGATCTTCATGTATAGCTTCCAGACTGTTGCTCAACACACCCCCTCCTTGTCTACTCCCATCACTGCAGCTCACAGGGCTCTGTAATTGTTAATGAGGCGCAATTCTATGCAGACAGCGTAGCCAGCCTGTGCGTTACAGTGCACTAGTTGAGCGTTGGTATGCGCCCATGCATTCTTAATTATCGGAGTCCTCAATTGCCCCCAATTAGTGTTCTTTGTTCACTCGTGAAATATTGTAACAATAACTGTGAAGGCACCTGTGCATACCAGCATGCTGAAGCACGCTTGTAAGGGCCAGCACAGGCGCGCGCGAGCGCGCCTCCCACGAGGGAATGGAGCCGCCGTTGACATTGGTGTTTTACACTCAATTTGCAGCAGCGCAGATGTTCGCATTGTCTGGTACCAGGTGGGCTGCTGCATTTAGAGGGGGTGAATCCAAAAAGACGGGTGGGGGGCTGCGGTTGTTGTTGTCACGCTGTTAGGGGAACTTGCTATAAATTAATCTCTGGATGAAGACAAATACAATGTTGAAAAGTTGGAAACTTTGTGGTACTGTGCTGATTTATTTCTGTATTATTAATATTATTTAAAATAACATACACTTTGCCATTTCTGACTCTTAACATTTTGTGAAAACATGATGCGTTGTGCACACACATTAATTTTAAGCCAGTTATTTTTACATCTGAAAAGTAAAAGACAAGCAATTACATATTACACACCTCGCACATTTTCTGAAATGGTAAACGTGTATTTTGAAATATGTTCGGCGAAATAAGTATTCATGCCAGTTTAAATTAATACTTGTCATTGTAAATCTGAAATGACTAAAGGTGGATTCAACTGTAGTATTGTTTAAAGCTTGCGTTTATTATGAGGACAACTCATTTTTTAGATATGGGATTAAGCTCAGGACTTGTAAGTGAAACTGTGGTCATATATTCAAAAGTGCTCAACGTGGTCCTCGATGAAAGTTACGACTGCAGGTAAATGGGCTTTTTATGGTACTACTTGGCTGTTGCCGCTGTTGGCAATGCCCCATGCAGCAGTCACACTGATGTTGCTGGATGCGCTCCTCAGACACCAAACCCAGTTCCTCGTCCACATTTTCTGCTGCTCTTCACACTCTCAGCAACTATGGCCACTTGCACCTGCCCGTCTGTTCCAGCGTGAGTCTTACCGGCTAACTCCACAGCCCTCTACCTCATGGGATTCTTCTGAAGGGGAAGAAAGGGAGGGTGGGGGAGAGACAACCGAGCGTGTCGACGTATTTGTGAAGAAAAACAGAGTTGCAACTGCGAGCAAACGAAATTCAATTTGGTGTAGTTGCCCGCAAAGTCTTTCATCACCGCAACCAGGTAGAAAGCAAGCGACGGTGTGAGTGATGCTAATATTGATTAGGCAAGTGTTCTTCAGATCGGGGTCAACCACATGCCGAACTTTCATACCACGGTTACATGAAACATGCTAAACCTAAGTGTGAACTACCCAAGTGTGACTAAATGGTGATTTTTTTGTTCCGTAATTTCTTGTCAGCATGTTAATTTAAAAGGTATAATACATTGACAATGGCTTCTATAAAGTTTAACATTTTTTCTTTAACGTATTTGTTTTGCATGTGTAAAAAAAAACAACTCCCCAATGTGGTTATGTAGGAGTATTATCAGACAGCACATACCATGTTGGAGTAGTTGATATCGCACCACTGATAGCACGGTTGGCTACATACGGTGCAAAATAAGTTCTACGTACATTTTGATTGTTGGTTTATGTTAATTCTTGTTAACTTGTCACTAAAGTTATTTAACGACTTGGTCAATTGTACAGGGACGGGGAATAAAAACAGCCCCTTAAGCATTAAACTCCATCCTAAACAGCAACATTTAAATCGCGTTTTATGTGCAGTGTATACTTGACGCCTCTGACCAAATCACTGAATGCGCTCCACCTCATCAGGTATCGGAAGCTAAGCAGGTTGGTGTCTGGATAGTGCTTGGATGGATGACCACCATGCACCAACAGGTTGTCAAAAGGCTTGTGGGGTGATGGCAGTGCAGCACATATTATTGTGCAGTACTTCTATGCATTGACATCTATGCTCCATACCTCCAGGCGGCACTGACTAGCTTGGTAAAATTTGGTTCAATAGCCCGTGAGTACACGCAGATGTGAGGCAATACTCTAACTGTGGATTGACAAAAAAAATCTGCGCATGTACATACACTCAGGTATATGAACATGTCTGCTGTGACGCAGTGGTTCTCAAATGACATTTGCGGTGTCTCTCCCCCCCCCCCCTACTCCATCCTCCGAACTCCCATGTCTACTGATCTGTGTTCAGATTTAAAATAGATAATGCACATTGCACGCATCTGTTCTTCGGTAGTCGCGTAAATATGCACGGGGGGGGGGGGATTGGTGGCGTGAAATGGAGTACAGCGTTTAGAAACGGCTGCTGCGAACTCGGTTGTCTGTGCGACACTAATGCAGTCACGTCCACGTTGCAGATATCAAACACCTCAATCATCTGCTTTGCGCGGGGGATTGTGGTGATGCAACATTACGGCATTGACCTTCCACCACTGACATTTGCACCTACAACTGAACTCAATCAAAGCAGTATAACATGAACCTGGGGCGCCGATCATTTGGCACGAACATACAGAAACTGTTTTTTGATGGCTGTGACCTTACCTTTGACCTTTTAAAGTAAAACAAAAATCAATACCATGAGCTATTGTGGTCTAGGAACATCTCTTAACATTTTACCAAGATTGGTGAAATGGCTCAATAGATGCCATGGCAATGGGCGGACAGACAAGGACAATTACTCATTCCCTTTGGTGCACGAGAACTAATATCGACCAATTATAGTTGTAATTGATGATTAAAATAATCAATTTTAATGTATTAATCAATTATTGCAGGCCTGATAACATTACTGATTGTTTATGGGATCATATAGGGCTTGAGATTGCCAATCTCTTAACTTTTTTCCACATGCATTGCTCTAATTTAATGACAATACTAAAGACCCAGCATTGAAAGCTTGAGTTTTTGCGGCATGTCTCATTTATTTTGATCTATTGCCAGCTACTTTGATTGTTTTTAACAATGGGACTATGTGCATATATATGTGCGTCGGTCTTTTGTTAAATAACACAAGTTGGGACCTTGCAAACAACTCTCATAAACAACAACAAAACATTTTATTTTTTTAAAGTTTTACACTGATTTTAAAAGACAGGTTTTTTTTGTATTTATTTGAAATTGCAGGATTTTGTTTTTATTATAACTGCACATGCCCTGTGTGGGAAACGACATTGTGAAAGCACCTCTAGGGCAGTATTGTATTTCAGACATGCGTCTATTACATAGAAAGTCAGAATTTCCTAGCTGTCGTGTTTAATCACAACAGCTACAAATTAAAGTTTTGCTTTAAAAAAAAAGAACGTTATTGTTACCTAATCCAAACCCCTCCATTTCTGCCGCATAAACAAACGAGCTGCGCATGTTTCTGGAAAAAAGTAACATTGCTAGAAATGGTAATAAAAAACTATCTTCGTGCCGTTAAAATCGTACAAATTTTCTAAGTGCTGACCACCTACATTTATATATTGTACACGCTTAATATGTTGTATATGTTAGTAAAAGTACCTTTCATTTTTGTCTGGCTCACAGTACAAAGCCAAGGAGGTTCCATGTGTGACGTTACGTAGCTTTATACTTCCAAAAGCAGCAGTGCAATTTGTGCCACTAAGCATTTTGGCTTGAGCAAAATGTCAGGCTGCTTCAGGTTATGTGCAGTGTTCTACACGGCAGTGATAGTCTGCCCAGCGGATGTCTTTGAATCTGCACAACGTCAAATTAATGGTGTGCAAAATGGGAACCTAATTGTACTATTTGTTTTGTAATGTTTAAAAGAACAGTGCTCTTCATGAGCTTGCTCAGAACACCTTGGATCTGTGTTGTTGCTGAATATACATAAACACGATCCATTGGGTCTGATTTTTTTTTACTTTTTTTTTTTAGAAACGTAATTATTATTTGGTATAACAGCCATTTACTGTCTTCGGAGAAATTGAAACTGCTGTTTGAGTAATTTTGCCTTGAAGACAATTCACACTTTACACTTCTGGAGTACAAAAGTTGAGAAGAGGCAACTCCAATAGACGTTTACTTTTTACTCAAATGCATAGTTATTTCTTTTGCATGAAAGCTGTGCGCTTACAGATGAATTATAATAATCCCACCGTACCAGTTTTCAGGGAATAAAAAATAAATCTGTTGAACCCAAAACAAAGAAAAAATAGCATTCACAGGCAAAAACATACCTACATATATCACGTCAGCTTAGTATATGTCTGCAGTTCTATCATATCCACAGCAGTTTCTCGTGGCGTGACCTGATGTGAACCTATTCTGGCAAAACCTGCTTTTATATATTATTTTTTATGGCGATGCAAAATTTAGAGAGCTCCACTTTTCCGATTTTTTTTCTTTTCACACGCATTGAATGCGTTGCAAGAGCACAAATAACTTTAAGTGAGAAAAATGCATTTGAGAAAATTGTAGCGATAAAATGTGGGGTTAAAATAGATCTCTTTTAAAATAAAATTGAGGGGCATACGTTAATATTAGCGAGCGAGTGCACTAATCTAATTTTCTTACAAGCCACGTTGATAAATTCTTCATAGTATAGTGGTGTATAATTGTTTATATTGGGTTATATTTTTGTGCCATAAGACCTTTTATCCCTACAGCAAGGCAGTACTTAATAAAAGTCTCAACGATGTAAATGACATAAAAGCATGTTTCTGCCTCCGTGAATGAAAGCATGTTTCAACCCATTTCCTTTTGCAGCAGACTGAAACATTATTGGTAATGCTAATGCCAGTTGTCCTTAACACTGATGAGAGCTCCAACCTCTCGTGACATCCCGCTTCTAAAAAAGAGCTGTAATTACTTGAGGCTGTGGGGTGCAACTGCTCTGACTCATTTTTCATGTGGTAGCTTTAAACGTTTACAAAATCTTTTGTAGGTGCATGAATGTGGCACGCCGTTGAATTCCACCCTGAACAATCGTCTAGGTGACTGTCGCTTGTCCTTATTTGACTTGCTCTCAAACCAACTTTTAGCAGGGTTTGGGCTCAATTTCTGCCGCATTGCACCTGATGTGAAACAATGTAATGTTTTACTTTTAGAAGCGTAATTGATTTAAATAACTGGGGTGGATTTTTGGGAGGTTGGTGGGTAATGAAAACCACTTTTTATTGAATAATTTCAGCAATACCAGCATTACTGCTTTGGAAGTATTAATATTGAGTGAATGGCAATCAATAGCAGGTTGGCCTGCATTAATAATACTTTGAGGTGCATTCATACAACAGTGCATCCTTAATTATGAACCGACGTACAATTTCTTTACATTCTATTGGACATTATATATTTATGATAATTGTTTCTTAAACTTGCATTACAGCATTAACATTGTTTACTCTATTTTCCTTGATTTATTTTGGCAACTTATGACCATCACCTCATTGCAGATGCGGTATTGTGTGTCGATATATGGGGCTGTTGACGCTTTCTGTTAGGATATGCAAAATAGTGCACTCATTCTTAATAGTCACCCCTTACAGCAACACACTTCAATATTATATATCATTCGTGCATAAAGGACACAATGCAACAAGTCTTAAAATTCGCATCTTCATTGCTAATTCTCAAAACTTTTTGACTGGCATATGTAGATGTATAATCTCACAGTGCCTAAATTGTGAAGCTATGAGAGAGTTGGTGGCTTTGTTTGGCATTGGGTGTTTTAATCCTGTTTGTTCTCTCCATGTGGCCTCCGTCTTTGCACAGGGATAATTTACTGCTTCTCCGCAGACTGGCAGCTGCCTGTAGCCCCGCGGTGCACGTACGGGTTTGGGTGTTCTGCTCTCATTCAGACCTCCCAGTTCACATGACGGTAATTGTTGCAGTATGCCAATATATCGGGGAGTGAGCCAGAAAGCACATGTAGCAGCGCTTTATTAACTAAATGTGGACTTTGTTTTGTCGGTGCCAATTTTAATTATTTCTTTTTAAAAAAATTACATATGCACGTTTCAATATTTGCACAAATTACATTTTTACACTCAATTACGTTGCTTAAATACGACGATGTACATCGGCAAGCTGGTGCATTGCAGCGAGCACACACGCACGCAGCACAGATCCTCGTGAGTTTTGTGTGCAACGTTCCTTGCCGTAAACATTTCCGCTGCGTTTTTTTCTCTCTCCATATATCTCAAAGCAAATTGGAGGAGAAGCTAATGGGGGCGACAAACCTGGTCATTGGATGCATTTACTCAAGTTATTGCCACTGCGGTGTATTTTTAAAGTCATTACCCAGCTTAAATATCTTAACGTGCACGAGTCGAAGCCTGCGTTTGATTTTGTGGCGGTGTCTTGCGGTCAGAACGACATTTATTTAGGCTTTGCACCTTGATGCGTGCACACAACACGGGGGTAGTGGGGGGGGGCATACGGACATCCTAGCTGCATTGCTCCCAAGTGCCACAGCGCAATATTCCCCCCCCACCGCTGCTGCTCGGGTTACGTCCCACACAAATCGGCGGGCACAGACGCGATTTAATTAAGAAATATTTTTTGATTTAAAGCTTTCGTGACTGCAGGGATTCACATGCTTGGTTCTTTCGGTAAAGTCACGTAGAAGGGAAACAATAAAATAATAAAAATATAAAACAATAAAATTCTCACGACGTTTCGACTGCAACACAAATCATCATCAGGTGTGAAAACCAAGAAAATTGTTGTGGTTTTCACACCTGATGATGAGTGCTTGTGTTGCAGTCGAAACGTCGTGAGAATTTTGTTTTATATTTTTATTATTTTATTGTTTCCCTTCTACGTGACTTTACCGAAAGAACCAAGAATATAAGAAACATTTGTAAAACTTTTCGGTCTTGAAAGTAGGCAAAGGTTTTGACGCCATGCACTTTTTGTTTTTTGGGTCATTTGCTGATGTATTCGCTTTGAATCGTGTGTTTCAATGTGCACTCTTTGGTTCTTTCGGTAAAGTCACGTAGGTATACAATAATTTATGATTGATTTTATACCTACATCACTTTACCGAAAGAACCAAAGAGTATGGATTCCTGCAGTCACGAAAGCTTCAAATCTAGATTATTTCAACGTGCTCTCAGATTTCTGGAGGTGTAATCTGAATCGCCCATTTTTTTGTTTTTAATCCGTTTGACAAATGTTGGTAATGCGGTAAACATACCAACGCGACCCGCAGCCACCAAATCCACGTGCGGTTTGTTAATTGTGCAACGCGACGGCTTTGCATTTTGCGAACGTGTGTAATTGTGCCGTTAGCGCAGAGCTGCGCGCGGTGCCGCAGTTAGTCAAGTAAGGTCAAATCATGACAGATGCAGCAAGATTGAAGGCCCTAAACGGTGCCATTTTTAACTCAGATCAGATTTCATTATTGCCAGAGGGTGATGTTGGCTTGCAAAGTTTTACGCCCCCCTCCACCCCCCCCAACTCTTTTCTCCGACGTTAATGGTGATTATAGCTGTGCAAACCAACCAAATGCACTGGCTAGTTAGGAATAACCCAAGTACTGTACGTAATTATTTCCTGAGGCCTGCGAGGTCACGCAAATTGCCATCTCTGCAAAGAATGGCTTTGGATTTATTTCGTTGAGATGACTGGTGTAGGGCAAGGTTGTACGGCGGTGGTGATTGAAGGAGGAGGAAGTCGGGGGCCCTGTCACCTCTTGAGCTATACATTAGCTGAAGGAGAATGTGAGACGATCCGCACAGACCACAAAAGGAAGAGATACATTTGCCGAGACTCATCTTAATAAGGACAGGGAAGCCTTGACAGCTGCTCTCCAAGAGATCAACTCGCAACAATAGCTTCTCCGCGTCTTTTCTTAGCCGCAGGTTCTCAGGTCTTGCCTTTTGTTTCATTGCCGTCGGCTCATGTTCATAGTTTATTTCCACAGTGCGTCGCAAACTACCGACGGAGGTCACGAGCAGAACAATTGCAGCCACTTTGCGTTGGCTTTAGCTCGCTGGTGAAGCGTGTTGCTTATTTCTTCTCAAAATATGTGTGCTGAAATGTAAAAAAAAGTGTTTTAGTAAAAGACAATCTTAGTTAAGAAAATACATATATTTCTTCTATGCCCATGACTCTCTTCACTTGCAAACGAGCATTTGTACGCCCTTGTCTTCCCTGCGTTGCATGGTGTTGCACAGAATCATTAGGTGCAGTGGTGTTTAGTCGATCTGCGAAATCCACATCGCATATTTGCTTTGCATAGTTTAATTACATATATAATAGAATGCTACAATTACCACAGTTGGTTTTGTTTGAGATAAAAAAATACCACATTCTATAGACACATACCGAGAGTTGAAACTCGTATGAATTAAAATGACTTGGTCGTATATATTTTTTAGAAATGCAATACGGCCGTAGGTTTTAAATTATTTAATGGCAAAAGAAATGAAAGTTGCTCACGAAACACAAAAAAACACATACATTACCCCAAATCAAGATTACCCCTGTGACTTGAAATTGTGTACAAAGTTGGCTTTGATTTTGTGTTTTTAAGCATGTCGTGTTCCTTGCGCAATGTAAATAGTGCTGCAGACCAGCTATCAGTGCGAAACCTTAACACTCGATGGTAGTGTTTCTTTTGCAAAGGTCTTGCCACGCAGTGAAGTTGAGGAGAGGTCATCGCGAAGCGAGTGTAAAAAAAAACTTTTCTATAAATGTAGGTGCATAAAAGAGAAAATATCTAGGGGTCCCTAAATGGCTTCAGAGGGGCCCTTGGTGGGTGGGTAGGGTTGGCTGTGTGTTCTGCTGCATTGTGACACCCTACTGCAGACACCATTCTCCTGTCGGAACCCTGAGAGGCCCGCTCTGTATTTCACCAGAAGGAGCAGACAAAACACACTTCCAGACAGAACCTGATCCAGCCGTCTGAGACACTCTGTGTTTTCTCAAGACACCCCCCCCCCACTCTCCATCCCGCCACCCCAGTTCATGCACCCCCCTCACCAATCCACCCAACCGCCCAACCTCCCTCACCACCGCCCAGTCTCAGCTCTGAAGTCTTAGGCCCTTAGATCACAAGCCCGGAATGATGAACGGCCTGCACAGGTCACCGTTGTGCAATAGCCTGCCCCGCAATTCTCACACACTGTCTCTGCCACCACATCCGACCTAAACATGGATCACTTGACCTTTTGGATGGCAATTTAAAGGGGTATTTATCGCATTGCCCGATTATGGCGGCACACATGCTTAGGTTAATGCCCACAATCAGATTGGGATTTTCCCCTCTTTCTCAATTTCACTCCTTTTTGTTTCCATCCTAGCCCCCCCACACCCACCTCCCTTGTCATTGAATAGCCCGCTACGTGTTAAATTCTATACCCCTTCCTACATTCTTAAACATTCCACAAATTGACTCTAAAAATGTTGTGCTAGTATGAAGTAGTAAATTAAGAAAGTTAAAAGGTCCATTTCTTTACCTAAGAAAAACAAAGCCAATGGTAGATGTTTTTTTTTTCTGGTCGGGCAAAAAAAGGTTGATTTCACAGGTCCGTTACATTCTATTTATGATGGCATTATAACTTATTGAACCTTACTGGATATTTACAATTTGTAGTAACATTTACATTTTAGGGGGTGTTTTTTTCGCCAAAAACATTTAAAGTATTAGCTGAGAGTATTTCAAGAATGTAATTGTATAAATCAGTGACGCAAACTACATACTCGAG